AAAAAAAAAAAAAAAAAAAAGATTCATCTGCATTGCCATGTATAGTTGCAGTTCATTTGCACCCCTGTCCATTATCTGAATTGACTACTGTTGATGGACAATTGGGTTATCTCCATTTTGAGGTTATTATATGTTATAAAAGGTTATGAACATTCTTTTTTTTTATTGGCTGGGCTTTCCTAATTTGCCCTGGCTGGGCTCAAACTGAAGCTCCTCCCTCAGCCTCCCAAGTGGTAGGATTATAAGGATATACCACTACAACCACAGCCAGCTGGAACATTCTTTTCTTAGGTTGGTCTCCAACTCCTGGGCTCAGTGAGTCCCCTTTCTCAGCAGCAGCAGGGATTATAGGGATGCATTAACATTGCTGAATAGGTCTCTTGGAGAATGTAAGTATACATTTCTGATGAATATGTAGATGTGAAGTCAGGAAGTCATAAATATGATGTTCCCTTTTACAGATGGGTTGTACCGAGAGTTTTAATTGTGCACCATTCTCAACAATTAGCATGGCCTTTTTAATTTTAGCTATTGTGATAGATGTATGCTGGTACTTCATTGTGGTTTCTTTTGTTTGTGTGTTTATTGGGACTTGAACCCAGAGTCTCATATGTGCTAAGTACACATACTGAGCTACACTTCTAGCCCTGTCATTCTGATTTTATGTATTTTGAGAGTTTTATTGTTACACTCCAACTCACGATTCTCCTGCCTCAGCCTTTTGAGTAGCTGGGACTTCAGGCATATCCCACTCTGCTTGGGTGTAATTTTCTTCTTTTTGGTGTGGGAGATTAAACCCAAGGTCTTGTGCATATTAGACAAGAGCTCTATCACTGAGCTATATATCTCCAGCCCTAGCTATGATTTTAATTTTTCCACTCATGAAAATAACACCTTTTCCTATGCACTGGCTAAGTTCTTATTTATGTTAAACAGCTATGTGATTATATCCATGTTGTATATATTATATGAATAAAGATAAGATATATAAGGCTAAGGTCCTTCTAAAACCAATCCCTAACCCCTACCCCC